AGCAGGGCACTAGCAGTTGCAGCAGCAGCAGCAGGAGCAGGGCACTAGCAGTTGCAGTAGCAGCAGCCCCAGGGCACCAGCAGTTGCAGTAGCAGCAGCCCCAGGGCACTAGCAGTTTCAGTAGCAGCAGCAGGGCACTAGCAGGTGCAATTGCAGCAGCAGCAGGGCACTAGCAGTTGCAGCTGCAGCAGGGAATAGGAATAGGTGTTGCAGCTATAGCTGCCACAGGTAACTAGCTGTTGACTGGCTTGGAGCGAGTGAGCTTTGTGCTCATGGCTGGGGACCGAGCCCTGTCCCACCCCTGCTATCCTGTCAGACTGGAATGGGCTGGGCAGCTGCTTCACTCTGGCAGAGGGAAAGAGGGAGGGAGGTTTAGAGAGGAAACTCCCATTTGTGCTGATCTTGGGCAGAGTCTCCCGTCTTTTCTCTCTTGGTTTCTCCTCCCTTCTGTTTCTCTAGTGACATTCCTCTCTTTTTGTTCCCCTCTTCTCCTGCTCCTCTCTCCTCTTTCCTCTCTCTGTCTTCATCTGTTTGGTCTCTCTGTAGTTGTGGTGACGAGCTGCTTGTTTACCATGAGGAGGAGGCCTGTCTTTCTGGAGTGTAGGCACCATGTGGGCTGTCCTTGACCAATTCTGAGACAGCCTCTTCCCAGCAGTCTGACCCATGCAGACTCTGCAGGAGCGCTCTACAGTCCCAGATAGATGGGGGGGCCCATCCCCTCCCAGGGCGCCGTTAAATTACAGCGGTCGGTCTGTCGACCTGTCCTGTTAGCCCAGTGTAGCGTGGGTCCAGTGCCGGGGCCTGCTGGGCCATTCACCCATGGAGACGTGTTTGAATGGGAAGTTGCGTTATAACATGATGGTGTTAGTAAGAACCGTTAGTGTCAGGCAAAACATGCAGGAGGTCGGTCCTGTTAAAATAGCCCCTGTTTCACAGTTAGTAGTTTATTCATCCCAGGAGCTCATCCAGTTTGTTGCTTGAAAGGGTACACACTTGTTCCACGGTCCCACCACTCTTTGTGTGAAGTAGTGCGTCCTGTTCTCAATTTCAAACGCTTTTCCCTTTTGTTTCCGCTTGGTCCCTCTGGTTAGTGCTTCACTGTTGGTTCTGAAAAAACATCTGATGAGTTGGCTCAGTTTTGAGGTTCGGTGCGTGAGGCAGAGGAGGGGGACAGTTTAAAGGGTATACTTAGCCCCTGTACCAGATTGAGGCAGAAAATACAACCAGTTTGTTTTGGGAAGGAAAAAAATAGCTTTTCTAAAAAAAATGATGAGAAAATTAAAAAACTTGTGGGGGAAAAATCTCCAAAAAACAGAATCTCATGTATACCCCCTTTTGAAAGAAACATTCGAAAAAAACTTTTGAGGATTTTGAATACATGCATCTTTGTCCCCTCATGGTGTTCCATGTTCAAAACTAAAACGGTTCAGACTTTGCCTTCAGACTACAGAAACAGACTCAGTTCCTTCAGCCTGTCAGTGTGGGACACTCCCTTC